GTAAATTATAAATGCCATGTGGTTGGTGCATGAGTTCTTATCCAGAACTACCCCAAGGTCCCTTCTGTGCATAAGCTCAGATCTTTGAATCTTTGGGTGYGAGGGTCTGTGAGCCCAACCGTTACCCGTAAAGCACTTGACACTATTGACAGGATATGGTAAGTGTCTGCTGGTAACCAGTGATCCTTTCCATAGGTTTTTATGGAGAGATATGGTCCCTCATTCGACCAGTGAAGATGTGGAACCATGGCATGGCCTATTCAGAGTCCCACAATAATCCTTTCCTTCTTGAATATCACTTCCCGTCAGTGATGTTTTGGAGCTCACTAGGCAATCTGAAGGTGTCTGGCTGTATGCCAGTCAAGAATATTGAACAAAACACTAAGTTTCCCTATAGTTAGAGCACCACTATATGTGCTGTATGAACACTGTATGAGTATCTGACCTCACTTTTTTATTGGAGAAGGCCAGGAAATGCTAGAGTGTGTTCTAGAGACAGATGTAGTAAGTGGATAGATAAGGCAGGGAAACAGGCTGACTTAACTGCTGATTGACATGCTCTGGGCCACACACAGGCTTAAGCTACTTAACCAAGCAGATGCTTTTCACAGAGCCTCCTTCCTTTGGACGCTGGACTCCATTTTTGAAAAGGGTTCAATACCCTCAAACATTTTTCCAAGTTGTTGTCCAAGCAATAGACATATTCTCCCATTATGTTGCTTCAACCGTTTATCTGAGATGGTCATCATGACTTCAGAGTGCTAATCTCTCACAGTCAGTGAGAGTAAGTATCTGCTCTCTGGAGCAGATCTACTCACTCCAGTGAGTATCTGATCTCTTCCACATTTGATCCAGAAGCAAAGGTGTCCTCCATGCTCTTCCTAAGCTCGGGGCCCTTTTCAATGCCTGCACTTGAGCAGTTTCAGGCTGTGAGGCATGCTGARCAGCATAAGTGTTGTAGTTTATGACTCATGGTTGACACTACTCAGAGGTTTCTGTTCTTTTCTCCACCTTCAACCTCAACTATGTAGGGTTTAACGGGTGTGACTTCCAGTGTATTGATATCCCAGTATTGCATTCCAGGGAACTGTTCTACCACCTGTTCAGGAAAAGGACAACTTAATGACTCCTGACCTAGGGTACATTCTTTAATGTGGTAGGAAGGCTGCCTCACTTGTGTTTCTTGCCTTTTGTGGCCACAGGCAGTTCATGCTTCTCRATCTGTTATGTGATATCTTTACCCTTCCAGAAGGACTTGGGTATAGTCACCTCTTGCCTAAGTCTTCTATTGCTTTGTCTTTATCATTGCTTTGGGAGGAGAAAGGAGAAAGAAGGGTGCAAATGGTTCCATCTCTAACTGTTCCATTATGTAGTAGCTAATAGCATGAAAAAGTCCAATAGATTTATGTGTCTGGCTGAATGGCAAAGTTTTTTGCTTGGTGCATTTATCTTTTCAGTTCTTCTCTAGTGTCTCAATACTAATTATTTTGGGATTCCTAATAGAGYTGAGGGAAAGTGGATTTTCTCTTAACAAGTTCTATCTGGCTACCATTTTACTTACCTGTAGTTCGGCTGATACCCAGATTTGGTGACTTTGTGTATTTTAAGGACTTGATCAAAACATATTCTCCAGTCAAGGACTTTATTCCTTAAAGGGATTTGAACCTTTGGTTACAGATTCTAATAGGTTGTTTGTTTAAACTTCCAGCTTCCCTGTTCCCTTTCTTGACTCTCCATTGAAAGTAGTTCTGCTGATGACCACTTGTCTTTGCTAGGAAAATGAYGAAAATTTTGACTGTTAAATTGACTGTTATCTTCCTCATGCTGTCTTTTTTTCAGGCTGGAGTGTCATAGTTCCATTTCAGCAGGAGAAGACATTCTGATTTCCCCCAGTGCTCACACTGCCTCCGTGCCTCACAGGTTTGATGTCAGGAGGCTGTTGACTGTCTTTGCAGATCCTGACCCTTTCAGAAGTGTCTGAGGGTGTTTCTTTCCACTGCTGAAAAACAGCTGCGCTGTGCTGCCAGAGCAAAGCATGGGTTATATGCCTGGACCTGCTACGGWATTGATAGATCAGAGCCACCTGAAAATCTCTGAGCACAATCTTCTGGCAACCAGATGATTCTGGTGGCAGCATTGGGGAAAATCTCAATCCAGACATTTGCTACACAGCTACTTGGAGTTCAATTCATGGTTTTACCGAAAGAAAGTAGTGCATTTTTGAAGCTCTAAGATCTCTTGCTATAATAGAAGTGTTCATTGGCCACAGCTTACGTGAAAGGGTCATCTGGCAGCCATTGAGGGAGACACAGCTTAGACACTTGTGGTTAGTGTACATAAGGATTAGTTCAATGAMAGATTTTAACGGGAAATCTTGGACATACAATCTCCATGTGCTTTCATCTTCAGCCAGCTTTTCATGTGTTCCTCCGAGAGAGATATGGTCTTGTAGTTGAAATATCTAATAATAATAATAATTCAGCTGAAATAGAATCATAGAATATTTCAAAATTTTAAGTGGCTCAGGAGGTCTTTGGCCCAACCTGCTGCTCACAACAGAGTCACCTGTGAGGTCAGACCAGGTTGCCAGGGTTTAATCCAGCTAGGTCTTGAAAACCTCCAAAAATAGAGACTGCACAACCTCTCTGGCAACTACTGCCTCTGCCTGACTATCCTCATGGGGAAAAGTTTCTCTTTGTATCTAGGGTGACCCTTTCCTATTTCAGCATTTACCAGTGTTGCCTCACTGTGTCTTCTGGATAACCTCGTAGGCACTGGCAGGTTGCTCTTCTGGGACCCTGAAGCCATCTCTGCTCCAGGTCAAGTGCTTTCAGGTCAAGTGTTTCAGCCCTTGGCCTTCTCAGTAGCTCTACGTTGAACTTGATTCAGTTTATTAATCTCTTCCCTTTTTTTTTTTTTTTTTTTTNTTTTTTTTTTTTTTTTTTTTTTTTTTTTTTTTGTACAGGGAGCCCAAAACTGGGCCAAGTATTATAGGTGCAGTTTAATGACTCAGTAAAGAGGGATAATCACTTCCCTTGATCTACTGGCTCTGTTCCTGTTAATATAAGAGAGGATGATGTTGGCCCTGTTTTGCTGACTGAGCAAATTGCTGGCTCACGTTCAGCTTGCTGTCCACCAAAAACCTGAGTTTAGGGGATCCTTTCACTGCAAGTTCTTGCTTCCCAGCTGCAGGACTTTCCATTTGTCCCTGTTAAATTTCATAAGGTTCCTATTGCCCCTTCCCCTAGCTGTCTAAGTCCTTCTGGATGTCTCAGACCTTCTTGCCCTAGGGGTACCACCTAGTTGTCTCCCCTAATTTGGTATCTCACAGACTTTCTGAGCAAGCCATGTTGAACCGGTTTCAGAAGAGATGCCTGCAGTATTCCATTTTTATTGGCCTGCAGGTAATAAATGTCCCATTAATGTCCTCTGAGATTGATTGTCCAACCAGCTATTTAATTTATCTAGTTGTCCAAGCATCGGACCTAACTTTGATACAAGAATATGGTGGGAGATGTGTCAAATGCCATATTAACATCAAGATAAATGACTTCTACTGGTTTCTCCTTGTTCCCARATCCAGTAATTTTTGTCACCAATCACATTGGTCAGACACCATTTACTCTCAATAGGAACATGCTGACTGTTCCCAGTCACTTCTGTTCTTATTGTGCCCAGAACACATGATTATCCCAGGAACTCCATGATTATCCCAGACTCCATGATTATCCCAGGAACTGGAGAGAGGTTGATCAGCCTGTGGTTTCTTGGGCTGTTCTTTTGGCCCTTTTGGAGGCTGGGTGCAGCATTTGCCTTCCTCCAGTCACTTGGCAATCTCCACAATCTGCATGAAGAGCCTTGCAAGGACACCAACCATTTATCTCATATGCTACGATGCAATTTGTTTGGTTCCATGGAGTTGTAGGGGTAAAGTTCTCGCAAATAATCCCCCACTGAGTCCTCATGTACTCCGTCTTTAAGCACAGAGGCCTGAGAGATCATGTTGGTGAATACTAAGGCAAAGAAAGCAATGAATAACTGCTTTTTCCAGGCCTGCTGCCACTAAATCAGCCACTCATTTCACTCCTGGGCCAACATTTTCCTCATTCAGCCTTTTATTACTAAGGAAGCAGTAGCAGTTGTTTTTGTTGCCCTTGCTGCCTCTGGCAAGTCTCAACTGGAGTCGAGCTTTGGCTTTCCCAGCACCATCCCTACATGCCCAGGCAGTGATTTCAGATTTCTCCGTTGTAGCCTGACCCTGTTTCCACCTTCTGAATTCTGTCTTTTTGCAGTGGAGTTTAGCCAAGCCAGTCTTGGCCTCCATGGCCTTGGGCCTTGCCTCAAAAGCCATGCCACTCTTGATGTACTGAAGGTCAGTAGATAAATAATAACAGAAATGCTTCCACTTAATATGACATGTACCAAGCAGGTGGACAGGAGAGGAAGGGGAATTCTTTCTGTGCACAAACTTTCTGGTCTCAAGTTAAAAATCACAAATATACCTTATTATGTACTGCACCCCTTACTTAGTATTGCCTCCTGGTCTTTTGCATGTATGGCTTTTGYAGTGAAGATGTGCTCTAAATTTTTTTCCATGAACTTTCATGGAAAAGCTGCAGACTTTTCCTTGATGGCATTTAGTAATCCTAAGCATAAGAGCACATTTCCTGTCCCTCCAGTTGCACGTCCCTGCAGAAGGCAGGGATCCTGTCAGAAAAAAATGGCAGATGTATCGTTATATATTGAAAGGTTGCACAGGGGAAGGTAAACTCGTGTTGTGAAGGATTTTCCTACTTTTAAAGTCTTTGACTCACTGCTTAATAGTGTTTTTTAACTGATGCAACTGATGTTTGCATGGATAGGAGTGTGTGTGAACACTTAATACTGAAAGCCTTTCTTTTCGTTTATTTGTCTCTGATTTAAGGCATTGCTTAAGCACAGAGAGTGTTACTTCAAGTAGGATTTTCTTTTCATGTGTAATGTTTCCCTTCCATTCTTAGGTATTTCAAATTACTGTGAAAGGTACCGTGACGGCATGAAACTGGTTCTGAACACTTTCGGACCGGTACCGGAATATTCAGGTGAAGTGGAGCAGAAAGTCAACCAGGTAAATATACAGGGCATAAATGCAACGAGAGCCAGAACCATTGGATTTACTCCAGAGGCAGCTGTGATTGGTATTTATGATGTGAATGTGTACTTTGGGTGAAAAGATCAGTATTGAATGGGTTTATATTAGTATGTACTTTTTAAAGCTCTTTAAAATACATTAAGAGAACGTGATACAGGATGTGAGTGCATTATTATCAGCCAGAGAAATGGGCTGCTAACAGCTACAGGGTATTGACATGAAATCCCCAACTTCTACTGTCTCTTACACTTTTATCCTATATCCTTACCTCTGCCACAACCTGCACAGCTACAAGTTCCCTTTCCTACACCAAAACTCTCCTCCCCATGTTCTTTTTCTCATTCTTAYTGCGTAAGCCCCATAACCTTTTTCTTCCGGATGGGCTAGCTGGACAAGTAAGTTTATTTATGGATGATATGATATTCTATCTTTAAACAATCCATATTTTGTGCTGTTGATGAGCTGTGGTAGCTAATATAGTTGCATCTTTCTGTTTTCAAAGGTCACTTAGAAGTTATATCCCAATGATATGTTCCTTTCTTGTATCTTTCTTTCTTCCARTGCTGCTTCTGAATAGAGCCTAGGGCTCTGACTGTTGGGCTGTTTGTACATCATGCATAGATTTTTAAAGTATTTTGTTCTTTTTTTTCTGTTCTTACAAACTAAAATCCTAGTCTGTACAGCATGCAAGGACATGCTTAACATTCATCATGCAAGAAGCCCAGTAAGATTACTTGCGTGCTTAAAAACAAGACATGTTTTAAATGCAATGCTGGATTGGAACCCCATTTGTTAATTTTTTTTCTAAGCCCACAGTTAGTTTATAGTCATGATATAGGCTTTTCGAGGCATCTTTAGGAATTAGCTAAAGTATTTCCATTTCCTAACTCTGCCATTTCATAGTTATCTTTTTTTTAGGCTTCTCCAAGGAACATGTGCATGTATCAAATTGTTCCTGCTTAGCTGTTACRGAATGATTCTGTGTATGGATGCATTCACACATTAATGGGGTTTAGAACACATGTTTAGCCACATAAAAGGCCATGTCACCACCTTGTCACTTCATAAAATGTTACTGTCAAAATGGTAGGGAGTGGATGTGAGGGCCCATCCAAGAAGAGGCTGTTGCTTTGGTGTTTCTTTGAGGACCTTCATTGCTGCATTCAGGCCAACCTTCATCTGAGAAGTTTCTTCAGCAGGAAAACAATCTTGGTAAGAAACTTCCTACACAGAACAAGAGTTTAATCACTTTTAATTTTTTCTGTTTCAGGCAATGTCAGAAAAAATCCCAGTGGTTCCAAAACACCTGGATAGCAGGAGGGAATGGAGAGATGAATGTCTTGCTCGTCTTGCCAAATTGAAAATACAAATGAAATCTGACTGAGGTGCCCCTTGTCTACCAGGAAAGACCAAACGAAGAGCAAACCTTYGTAAGAAGCAGGGATTTTTGGTCAGGCAGAAGAGGTGCAGGCAATGATAAGCACAAATGTGGAGACCAATGAAACATTTGGTCCAAATTTGTCATGATGTAATTCATGAATAACTGGAAAAATTATTTAAAAGTTCAGTTAAAATTTTATCAAATTATTATATACATGTGTTATATATGTGAGCATTTAGTAGCTTTAGCTATGCTGATAATGTGCAATATTGGAACTCAATCATGTTTTAAATAAGGTGTTTTAAAATTTGTTCAGAAATTCAGAGCTTGAACACTATTTGCTTATGCAGGGATCTGATAGGCAAACATCAGCTGGAAGAAAAAAGCCCTCAGCAGCCAAACAATGTGGCAGTGGGGTTAATTTGTAACGTATTGGCCGTAGATAGGAGGAGATTGCGTTGAACAAAGAGCAGATTCACTGACCATTCTCCCAGTTAAGTGAGAGCTCTGCAGCAATAAGGGTCACTTCAACTTTGCTCTGTAACTATTTCACAATGTAGAGGAAAGAATTCCTTTCCTTCCCTATGGCACTTATGTACCTATGTGATGAGTTAAATGTGAGTGAATAGAACAGAGCAGACTTCCTTATCGCCTACCCCTGACTCTGCAAAACTCATCACAGACCTACTCAGCTTTTCAGACATGCACTTGATACCCCATGACTTAATCTCGACTTAAGTCAGATGTTTGATGCCATTGATAGGCATCGCTGTGTAACTGTGTGTCCCATTCTAGAAGTTTTCTATGACAAATAAGATGTTTTGGTGTATCAGCTTGGGAGACACCTTCCAAGCTACATGACAAGCTCCTGAGTGATCCTGGGAAGCTAATTCCCTGCTCTGTTGCCTTGTCTGTTTTGTACCTTATCTGGATCAAGGGCTGTGTCTGCAGGACTCAACTGCAAGGAATTAAACAACTGTGGCTGAAGGGTTCCTTTTAACCACCTCTTTGCTTCCCTATGCAGGGAAATGTCCAGCATTTAGACTTTACTGCTGCCCCTTTCTACATGAGGCACAACTCTGTAGAAGTACAGAGTTTCTACATGGTAATAGCGGTGTCTCTTGTTGCTGCAGTGGCATCAGGCTACAGCAGACCAAGTTTTGCTATGAGTKTACGTACTATATAACGTAGTTGAACCTTGACTTAAGCTAGAACCTTTGAGCACTGTTGTAATACAAACAATAACTTGGCAACACAACACTGCATCCCCATCACCTGAGTTAACCATACTTGAATTTGTACTAGCTGGTCAAGTATCTTCACGCACGGCACAGATTCAGAATTGTTAAACTGACTTCTTAATGTCTAGCTCAGGAATTTTAACTCTTGTTCTTGACGGAGACTGCGGGTGCATAAACAAGTTACTGCCCATTAATTAGTTACCAAGCTGTGAGCTGAGCTGCAGATAAACTGTGTGGCCTGATGTAGATGTTGGGACAAAAACATAGCATCTCCGTATGTAAAACGTGGGATAGGATGCATAGTGCAGAGGTCTACGCCTGGACAGATGGTCCTATGCCCCATTTATAGTGAGTGGAGAAAAAAAAAGTGTGTAAACTCAATTGTTTTATCCCAATCTAGACCTAAAATGGTCAGGTGAATCATCACACCCTGGAAACACCACACTATTGCCTGGAGAGGGAACAACAGTGACTGTCTGCATTGGGACATCTGAGGTTGGGGAGGTCACTGCCCACGCTTGGTGCCTTATTAAGCAGCAGCAAATTAATTACGAGGCTGATTTCTTCTTTTTAGGTATGTCTTTGTATTTTTGACAATTTGATAAAAGGTTCCGATTATTTTTAAGATGAGAACTTTTTTGTGGTGGGCATGGGACATAGTCATAACTAATTATCTTGCCTTGCTTCTCTTTATTTTGAGGTATTTTAAAATGTAATCACGTCATTCGATATTTGTCTTCATTTGTATTATTTGCTTATGAATAAAAAAAAATGTTTTGAGAATGGCATTAACTTCTTCCATGGTCCTGTGTGATGCTGTAGTGGCAGCACTCAGAATCACAGAATCCCAGGAGGGTTGAGGTTGGAAGGAACCTCTGGGGATCACCCAGTGCAACCTCCTGCTCCAGCAGGGACACCCAGAGCACGGGGCACAGGGTGGCABCCAGGCGGSTTTGGAAGATCTCCAGAGAAGGAGACTCCACAGCCTCCCTGGGCAGCCTCTTCCAGGGCTTTGGCACCCTCACAGCAAAGAAGTTCTTCCTCACCTGGAGATGGAACTGCCTGTGTTGCAGTTTGCACTCATTACCCCTTGTCCTGTCACTGGCCACCACTGAGAAGAGCTTGGCCCCTTCCTCCCTACATTCTCCCTTCATGTACTTATACATGTTAATCAGATCCCCTCTCAACCTTCTCTTCTCCAAGCTAAACAGGCCCAATTCACTCAGTCCCTCCTCATACAGTAGATGCTCCAGTCCCTTAATCATCTTTGTCGCTCTCCGCTGGACCCTCTCTAGAAGCTCCACGTCCCTCTTGTCCTGGGGAGCCCAGAACTGTCCCCAACTGTCCCCAGAACTCCAGGTGCGGCCTCACCAGAGCTGAGCAGAGGGGCAGGATCCCCTCCCTTGACCTGCTGGCAACATCCTCCTCATGCAGCCAGGATCCCATTGGCCTCTTGGCCACCAGGGCACTGCTGCCTCATGGKTAACTTGAGGTTATCTTGAGCACTACACGTACCTCTTGAGAAACAAATGCCTTGTAGAGTAAGTTGTGGAAGTCTGTGGGAGCAAATAGACAAGAATTAGTGTGTGTTCTTGTATAGTTTGTACATTGGTGGCAAGTGGGATGAGAAACTTGACAGGTGACATATTCTAGATGGCATTTGCTTAGGATTCGTCAGAGCTGAGCTGCTCTAACGTACAAATCCCGATCCTGTTCAATTAATTGGTTTAATTATCTTCTTCAAACTCATGTTACTGCTTTAACTCCKCTTTTTCACATAAGTACAATAGATGTTTTGTGGTAGATTGCACCTCGTGTGTTAGGTCTTTCCCAATTAACAGCAGCAGTCCCATAAAACTGTGAAATTATCCCAGCTGCAGGCATATATCTATATTGCTTCTTTATTAGTAGAAGCAGCAAGGTGAATGTTAAGTAACTATCTGGTAATAAAGCTATGAGGGTTGGGATTAAAAAAAAAATCTTATGCCTCCCCCCCTTTTTTTTTTAGTGAAATTGCTTATATTTTAATCCTGTATTATTATTTAATTGGGTTACAGCTATAGAACTTCCTTGTAGTGTATTTTTTCTGTGTTTTGCTGATTTTCTTACTTTCCTTAYTATGTATATTTTGCTATTAGTTACTGTTTCTAAATAGAAGGAAAGTACTATATGTTCGTATCAAAGACTKGGACTTAATGCTATTAGAAAACTACAGCACTTTGTTAAATATAGGGCAGAAAGGAAAGATGCAGGAAAACCYTGAGGTGTTTCTTGAAGAAAGTCCAATATAGCTGTTTCCTAAGTTTTAGAAATACTGGAAGTAGTTGAAGTATCCTGCAAAGCAGGAGTGTGAGCTTACCTTCCAGGTCTGTGGCTGTTCTTCTGTCTAGTCATGGTAATAGTTTGAAGTTAATTTGGGAGTATTTTGAGATTGCCACATTACCTGCTTGGAGTGTTTTTAAGAAATGGTGTTACCCTCTTTGCACTGTCTTTTAAGCTTAAGTTTTGGTGAACGCTATAAAACAAAACAGAAAAAAAAAAGATTTTGGCTCAAATGCTGTGAATACAAGTTTCAGCGTTCAAAAGGAAGCTGTGATGTGCCACAAGTGCATAGGACATAGGGAAGTTCAAGTTAGACATAAGTAAGAATTCCTACATGGAAAGAGAGCATGGAAAGCACTGGAACAGGCTGCCAGGGAAGTGGTGGAGTGACTGTCCCTGGCCGTGCTCAAAAAACGCGTGGATGAGGCGCTTGGGACGTGGTTTAGCAGCCATGGTGGGGATGGGCGTGCGGCTGCGCTCGATGATCTTGAAGGTCTTCCCCAGCCATAAAGATTCTGTGATTCAGTGACAGGAGCCAGGTGGATTTAAACCTAGGAACTGTCCTAAGTGACAGCAGGAAAAGCAAACGACCTCTTGCTTTCAGCAGTGTAGCAGGGCCTAGGAGAGTATCTCCTAAGTTAGTTCGGGTTTAGTTAGGCTATCAAATGTAAACACCTCTGTTTGCTCTGGCTGCCCGCTCGTCTCGCGTTTCCCCAAGATGCAGCTCACAGAAAAGGTGGCAGCAACTGCACTGCCGTGCGCACCGGGGCTGTGAACTGTGCGTGTGCGTGTGCGTGTGCGTGTGCGTGTGTGTGTGTGTGTGTGTGTGTGTGTGTGACACATGGACATGCTGCTACAGGCGGACACGCAGCTACAGGCTGGGTAGAGCAAGTGGAAGACCTTGGTGGGGAAAAGGTAAGTTGACCTCTGGGGAGGTTTGTGTTTGGCTTGATAAGGCTTCATATCAAGCTAATGGCTGAACATTTATTTCTGTTTTCCTCAGTAATTTAAAGAAAAAACAGAAGGGGACTCCTCCCATCAATGTGTTATTTACATTTATTTAAGTAGAGACATAACCTCATAGTATGGCACTTAAAGAGAGTTACCACTTGACGGACATTTCTTACAACTCATTTTGTTTTCTGGTAGAACTTTCTTTGACCCTCGGTTTTTCCTTTTATTGCTTTAATGTGGAGACGTCACCTGACAATCTGCTACAATCAAATATCAATAGCCAGGGCTATTCAGACCTCTCTTATCTTTTATAAGATAAAAGAAAAGGCTTTTTATAAGATAAAAGAAGACATCCTTCTCTGGAGATCTTCAAAACCCGCCTGGCTGCCACCCTGTGCCCCRTGCTCTGGGTGTCCCTGCTGGAGCAGGGGGTTGGACTAGATGATCTCTAGAGGTCCCTTCCAACCTCAACCAGTCTGTGATTCGGTGATAAACTGAAGGTCAAAAGAGAAATAACATTTAAACAGCAAATACCGTTGTACCAACAGTTTCATAAGACTTGGAGAAGAGGTGCTAGTGTCCTGCCTTGGAGCTTATGTGAGACAAAGCAGAGCAGCCTTGGCTGTTTGACCCCAGCACTGGCGGTGAAGCTCCGGTTTGCACGTGCCCACGGGCTGTTGTGAAAGGCTCCGCAGCCGCTTTGGGCTGGCTCCGACGGGAAGGCGGCCGCAGGTGAAGCCGTGGCCAAATGCAGCTGGTTTGTGTACAGCTCATGCAGACGTGGTTCCGTGTCCTGCTACTGGAGCAGAGCAGATCTGAAGGACAGTGCTCAGTAAGAGCCCTGCTCCCACACAGTTCAGTGACTGCCTTGAAATACAGAATCACAGACTGGCTGAGGTTGGAAGGGACCTCTAGAGATGGTCCAGTCCAACCCCCTGCTCCAGCAGGGACACCCAGAGCACGGGGCACAGGGTGGCAGCCAGGCGGGTTTGGAAGATCTCCAGAGAAGGAGACTCCACAGCCTCCCTGGGCAGCCTCTTCCAGGGCTCTGGCACCCCCACAGGAAAGTTCTTCCTCACATGGAGATGGAACTGCCTGGGTCTCAGCTTGTGCCCGTTGCCCCTTGTCCTGTAACTGGCCACCACTGAGAAGAGTTTGGCCCCTTTCTCCTACATTCTCCCCTCAGGTACTTAAACATATTGATCAGGTCTCCTCTCAATCTTCTCTTCCCCAGGCTAAACAAGCTCAGCTCAGTCTCTCCTYATACGAGAGATGCTCCAGTCCCTTAATCATCTTTGTTGCTCCCCGCTGGACCCTCTCTAGAAGCTCCATGTCCCTCTTGTCCTGGGGAGCCCAGAACTGCACCAATACTCCAGGTGCAGCMTCACCAGAGCTGAGTAAATAGCTAAACCTGGTTAGTCTTCTAGGTTGTTGGAAAAACATATATTAACATATTAACATATAATCAAAGAAAGGCTCCCTAGGGCGGCAAATCCCTCAGGATATCCCCTTCTCAGATCCATATGGGCAGAAATGAGAAAACATTTGGATGACAGAGGTTCCAGGGAGACTCCACTCCACAGTGATGACTGACAGGTCTCACTTGGGGTTTGTGCTGGGAAGCAGGAATCAATGGCAGGCTTATTGGCAGGACTTCACCACAAAAAAAGCAGCCCTGGACTTGACTTTCCACAGTCTGATGCACCTTCCATGGGAATTATCCTTAATCAAGCATTAAAATGAAGGAACACGTGGAAAAATTGGCACTTAATGTGCATGAGATYGCTTGTCACTTCTTGAACCTTAGCATAAATTGCAGATACCAATACCTGTCTTCGTAGGGTTCACTCAGATACTTACCCCAAACAATATAGGTTGTTCTTTCTAACTTAAGTCTATCTCCAGATGGCTATTCCAGTATTAATGCAGTGCCCGAGGCCTCTGTAAGGATCCAACACCTCTGTAGTGGCGCAGCCAGAGAAGACACTTTCAAGCAGATGACACTAACGAGCC